ATCCTGGAGAGCAGTCAGGTAAACACTCTATTCCTATCTGGGGTAGTTAAAGCTAGTTAGCATCCATACATCTCTTCCCCCCACTTAATTATACAACAAACACAACTACTTTATATGAAATGACTAACTACTCTGTGTCAGAGGAAAATAAGAAACAGGTGAGCAGAAACAATATCACATCTCTTGCAAACTGAATCTTTGCTCATTCCTTCTATAAGTACAGTCTGCTAAAGATTTGAACAGGTCTTCTGGTATCTGACCTATTCCAAAATGAGTTTACAGCACAGTTTTTTCCTCTTGGTTGAGAAACCGGCATCCAGAATAGCTAATCTAACAAAACTTTGCAGCAATGTATGCTATTGAAATTTTAAGCATCTGAAGGCTGGAGGAAAGCTTATACTTAAAATTTAGGCAATCAGCTACCCTTTCAAACTGATGAATGTTTACTCCTTTTCAGTAAAACCCTAATGATTTTTAAACTGTGAAATTATATATATTTCTTAGCTTCCTATTCCATTCTTCACTACATCAGGATACAGAGTTGCTGCTTTTGATGTAAAACTTTGTGGGTTTGTGGGTTTTTTTCATTATGAGTATGCTGGGCTCATCCTGGAGAGGAAACAAGCATTTATTAGAGCACATTCTAGGATATTACACAGATAAATCTATAGTCATTTCTATAATCTCCATGGTTTTTCAATGGGGGCAGAAACTAGACCACTGATGTCTGATGTGTCTTCTGGTCTATTTACCAATAGTTTGTGTCCTGGCACCTTCATTACTGCTACCTGACTACCAACTAAAATAAGACAATAAGATTCAGTGTCACTTTCTACCTGCTATTGTGGAACTATTCCACCACCTGAAATGATGGGAGAATGAAAGGGGGAAGTTTGTCAGGAGACTGCCAGTCTAAAGAACTAGTACAATGAGCTAGCAAGACTAAACTGCCATTTTTAGACTGTTTGATTAGTAGCTCTTCAACCTGAGTCACACTCGCAGCCAATGTTTGACCAACCTTTCTCAGCAATGTCACTCAGGTTGAATTTCCATATAGCAAACACTCTTTGGTAGCAGTATTCACTTTCAGGTGACATTCAAAGAGCAAGAAGAGAACTGGCAAGCCTCAGCAGGAGAATCTGGGGTTGAACAGAATAAATAAAAGGCTACAAGGACTGTTGGAAAGCTGGAACTGATAAATATGGTTGACTTTTTGTGGGGCAGAAGGGAAGGAGTTCCTGTTTTTCCCAGCCCCTAAGTTGCATCCTGTTTTGCCTGTCTCCTTGAGCCAGCCACAGCACAGTCATTCTCAACATTTACTCAAGAAGTTTTCCACGCAATTGCTGGACAGGTTTATTCTGTGTGTGCCAGACATAACATGGCATGCAACCTTTGGGCATGTTCTCGAGTAAGCAATACACAAGCACTGTCACAGAGCAAAATATTTTCAAGAATAATGCAACTGGTTTTGTCCAAGAAGGGTGGAAGGAAGGAAGGAAGGAAGGAAGGAAGGAAGGAAGGAAGGAAGGAAGGAAGGAAGGAAGGAAGGAAGGAAGGAAGGAAGGAAGGAAGGAAGGAAGGAGAGAAAGAAAATGGACAAAAAAATATGAGTTAAGCAGGATCTGAAAAAAGTGCTAGGAAATGCAGCTAAATGTAGAATTGCAAATGATATGTTATAAAGTGATGTGTTGTCCACAAAATTAATTACAGGGCTTAATGATAGAGGACAAAAGGATCATTATAAGAAAAAGTATGCCCTTTCTGTATGTAAACACACACAGAGAGAGGAAGAAATGCCAGCCCTCATATTTCCTTTTCCTGGGGGCTTTCCAGCATCTGTACCCTCCTCTGTCTTTCAATTACTGACCTAGTCATCATAGCTGAGGTGGCTCTGTGGCCAACACTGGGCTGGAGAGAGGAGGAAGCTGAGATTTTGCCTGCATGTTACCCTGCTCTGTGTACATCTGCAACTATTTGGTCGTCTCATCTCCCATCACAGACAGATGCAGCAGAGAGAAAGAGAAGTGAAAAAAAACCCCAATAAAATTCCAGACCTCTCTTCTGCCAAGCAAATATTTTGGTTGCTTATTCATCTCTATTTTAGTATTTCATGTTTAATGATTCACTTTTCAGCTGGGAGTATGTCTAAGCCCCTTCAAGGCTACTTATAGGTCTACAGCTACATTTTTGGAATGAAAGCAACTATTATTGGTTTGAATAGAAAGTTCTTATGTTACAGGCAGACATGCTTGTTAAAAATCTATCTCACTCCACTTTAAAAATTTGACCATCAGTATCACAACACGAGCTGAATTTTTCTGCAAATACATCAGCTATTTAAATGCCTAAATGGAAATGAGGATATTGATAAAGACTAGTTTCAGCTGTGCTGAGCCCAGCAATGTCTTTCTTGAAGTCTAAAAATCAGGTTTATTGGAACTACAGGATCAAGCTTGTGCAAGCAAAACCTCAGATTTGCCTTTAGTCATTGAATTTCATTAAAGCCTCTTCTAGGCTTGTATTTCATGAAAAAGAAACAGATTTGTGGGGTTGGGGGAAATAAAAAAAAAAGGTTGATCAGGTTATACAAGGGCATTTTTGCTCTTTGGAAATTTCCAATTGCACAAGAATTGTTGTTCTTTCAAATGAGGACAAAAATTGAAATAGATAGACATTTTGCAGATGCAAAGATACTCTGAAGTTATCTTTCAGAATTCACTGAAATAAAGATTTTCATTACTTTAAAGCAACATTTGCACATTTGACTATTTCAGATGTAATCAAAACATAAAATGGAAGCACAAATGCACACTTGAGACTGGAATTTTTCCTTTATACCAGGAATTGAAAATTGTGGGACTTTTTTGGTTGGAAAGAAAATAAGGATTATAATTATTTTTTAAATGAAAATATTGCTGAAATACACATTTTTCCATGTAACATTTTACCTTCAACACATTATATTTTTGGCTAGCAACATTTCCAAACTAATACTTTTGCTCTGTAATGGTCGCTACTGATTTCTGACACTTGCACATTCCACAGTCATCCACATATTAAAATATTTTGACAGATTTCTCCAATGATCCCATATTTATTTTCTATCAAATTAGGGTAATTTTTTCCCACCTCATACAAAACTTTTAAACATGCAAAATATCTGTTTGAAACACAACCCTGCTAACTCCTGAACTGTGCCTTAAAATTGTCTGGAGAGTATAAACTGACCAGAACTGCCTCAGGGGACATTAGGAGCATAAGGATGTATTCAGCTAAGTTCCAGCATCTAGGAATATTTCTAGAGAATATTTAATCTACTGTGGCTTTGAGTCCTTGCTGCTTTAAAAGCTACATAACATGACTGATGAGAATCCAGTTTGTTCTGAAATTTGCTAAATGAAATGTTCTGAAAATGTGTTCATAGCCCAACACCTTCATTCATTTTCTTCTGTGTAAACACTAATTTCTATAGAAAGTGTACAGAACACTTTGTGTGGACTTCCAACTACATCTAAGTATAGATTCCTTATTCCATTCATCTTCAGTTAGTATTAGCACAAACACTTTAAACATGGGAAGATTCAGTGATGTTGGCATGACATATTTATAAATCTGTCCCAAGAAATATAGACAGCTTGTGATATTGCTGATATGTCACACAGTCAGCAATAAAAATTCCAGCTAAAATCCATCCCTAATATTCTAAATAAAATTTAAAAAATTCAGCTGCTCTTTTAAAAAACTGTTTACCTGCATAAAGGTGTGTTGAACCAATACACTACTGCACCTATTATGCAACACTTTGTAAATGTCTGATCACTTACGGTATGTTTGTTGCACAGAGGCACATGAAGCCTATTCATGGGCAGCACTACCTTTTTCCTAAAGCACAGCCACAACCTCATTTTAGACAGCTGCCAACTGCCTGAAACTTTTCTTTGGGAAGAAACATCTCTTTCAGAGGATTACATATGTCACAAAATCAATGCTCTTCTCCTGGGAGAAGCAGCTGATCTCAACTATAGGTTTTATCGTAACTTAGAATCATCGAATCACATAATGGTTTTTGTTGGAAGGGGCCTTTAAAGATCATCTGGTCCAACCCACTGCCATGGGGCAGGGACATTGTTCACTAGATCAGGTTCCTCAAAGTCCTATCCAACCTGACCTTGAACACTTCCCGTGTTCGGGAACTCACAACTTCTCTGGGCCACCTGTTCCAGTGTCTCACCACCCTCAAAGTAAAGAATTTCTTCCTTATATGTAATCTAAATCTACCCTCTCTGAGTTTAAATTTTTTTCCTAAGTTATACCAACTGAGATAACAGAGCTTGTGTTGCACAAGAGCTAGACACACTGCTGAGAGTTGAGAAACAAAATGTATTGCTGATCACAGTAGATTCATATACTATACTGCCATGACGAAAACAAGAATTGGGAAAACGATATAGATGAAGTAAGAAGGGAATAAGACAGGGAAAGCATTCTTTACAAAGAACATGGCATTGCCTGAACTCCATAAAAATCCATCACAGCTCTCACACTTTTCTGCTTATTTTGTTGCCATGATCATGAGCCATTTACCTGACCTTCCATGTGAGCTACTGGCTAGGAGAGGTGGCATACCTTGTCCTCATACTGTTTTGTGCAGAACCTGAGCCAGTGTGGAATATACTGCATAGTAGCATTAAGCCTTCAGATAATTTAATAACTTAAAGATTGAAAACCGGGATGCCCATTTTTGTGTCTTTGCAGGAATGGGCAGCATTTGAGAAATAAATTTATGGAACTAGATGTTGCACTAAGACAGGGAGAACAGCAGTTGTGTTTAAGACCTATTTTAAGTCCTTTTAAGAACCAAGCCCTGAAAAGTGACACAAATATGTGAGGTAAGAAATGGTATTCAAAGAACATGATTTGAAAAATAGAAAATCATTTATGCAGCAGTATAGTGAAAGAGAGTAGGAAATACTGAATACCATTAAATAAATATGAAAAACCTCTGACTCTTGAATTTCCTTTTAACGAAGTCTTTCAAAGTGTTTTAAGGAAACAAAATTCTTGCATTCTTTCTAGCAGACTCTTGGCCTTTTTCTTTCCCTCAAAGAATAAAATGACCATCCTCCCATTTTCAGCACTTGGGTCCTCTCTGAAGTCTATTAGGAAAGCTTGGTGTCAGTAATGATGCACCTGGAAAAATCTGCTTACATTAAGTATGGGATCTTATAGGAACTAATGACATGGAAAATGACTGCTCTATGCCTGTTCTCAGAATTCACAGTGTACATTTTCTACGGGAATATTTACCTGCTTTGTTTTCTTCTTGGACACTGAACACAACGCATTTCATGTAACAAAATTTAACCAGCAGTGCTGATGTTTCCTTTAGTCTTTGCTTTGATATTTCATTTGATATTCCATTTTTTCTGCCACAAAGCTCCACTCTTCCACTAAATTTTCCATCCTTGCACTTCTCCAGCCTCCTTCCTCCCTGGATTTTACCTTCGGGGGGCTGAAGTACCTGGGAACTTTGCTTTTCTCTACCCATGCTGGAACTTCCTATCTCCTGCCCTCATAATTTTATCCTGGTTTTACTCTGTAGCCAAAACTGAGGAAATTAAAGTGCCAGATACACTTATGCTTCATGTACCAGTCCAAACAAAAGCGTAATAGTCTTACAGAAATAATTTCAAAAGCTTCCATCTAGATTCAGGCAGAACTGTGTCTCCTACTTACTTAAGAAACTGTCTAACCATGTTTCCTGTGCAAAGAGAGGCCTAAATTAAGAAGGTTCAAAAGGAGGCACAAATCATATCATCACAGTGATTAGTGTGGTCCATTTGGGGTAGAGGACAAAAGAAGCTTGTCTTTACAAATAATAACCATATCAGCTCACATTTTTATTAGACTATAGAGCCCAACAACTCAAAGAAATTAACACAGATTTAACATCTTGCCTTTACAAGGTTTCTCACATGCAACACTGACTAGTACATGGTAGTTTTACAGCCTGCAAAATACCTAAGTTTCCCAGCATTTACTCACATATATCCCATTTAGGAGTTAGCTTAGAATCATGGAGGGCAGACAAAAATCCATAGGTCAAAAGCTAACATTGATGAAGGAGTAAAAGGAGCTGAAGACCAGCGAAATGTTGAGAAGTGAGGGGATAAGAGAGAAGCAGAAATCGCAGTTTAGAAATAGATTAACAATGAAAGTCAGTGCTGATAAAAAAACATTTAAGCTTCGGTAAGTTCTGAGTTCAAAACAGTAATGAAACTCAACATCATGGACTAAAAATGCAATGTGCAATCAGTGATGTTGCTATGTTTATTTCATTTTTGTTGTTTTGACCCTTCATTTTTGTTGTCTTGACACTTCCTAGCTTGGAGAAGAGAAGGCTCAGGGGTGACCTCATCACAGTCTACAACTTCCTCAAGATGGGCAGCATAGGGGGAGGTGCTGGTCTCCTCTCTCTGGTGACCAGCGACAGGGCACAAGGAGATGGAATGAAGCTGCCTCAGGGGAAGTTCAGACTGGACATTAGGAAAAGGTTCTTCACTGAGAGGGTGGTGGGTCACTGGAACAGGCTCCCCAGGGAAGTGGTCACAGCATCAAGCCTGTCAGAGTTCAAGGAATGTCTGGATGATGCTCTTAATCACATGGTTTATTTTCAGGTAGTCCTGCGAGGATCATGGAGCTGGATTTGATGATCCTTGTGGGTGCCTTCCAACCTGAGATATTCTATAATTATATGATTCATCAGATTCTAATTCTTACCTTTCTCTTGTGGTTTACTTGTACTTCTCTTTCCAACTTCTTAAGATGCAAACAAATCACAGTTTGGTCATTTGAAGACTACAGAGTAACAGAAAAGTAGTTATCACCTGCATATCATAATGCTATGTTTAGAAATTACATTCTGGTGTGAAATATAACCAAGCACATTAAAATAATTGCTAACTTCCTCCATTACAACAATAGCATATACTAACTTATACACTGTTCAAGAATGCTGGTGTATGCTAGTTGTACACAGCACTAGCTGTACAGCACTATTAATACATCAATATTCATGCTATGATTTAATTTATTAATTGTGCTCAGTGAATTCCTACCATTGTCTTGGGTTGTACAGCCACCAGTACACTCCACTCAACACACTTTTACAAAAGCAATGGTACTGCTTTTATAAAAGCCATTCACACAAGAAGACAAATAATAGGAGATTAAGTATAAAACCAAACCACTGGCAACTGCAAGTGAAATAGAAGGTATTCATCCGGACTGAAGAAAGGTACTGGTCACTTGGGGTCTCCCAGTTGTAAGATTTTGGTGAAGAAACAGATAGTTGTCAAAGTTCTACCTTATCAGATTAAAGATAAAATGAAGCAAGTTTTCAGCAATGAACTTAGATCAAAAGGAAACAGGAAACTAAAAACAATAGCACATTATTTAAAAAGTAAGGGTGTATATTTTTAAAAAGGAGTGCACTGTTAGAATCTAAATATAATGACACAGTCATTCAGATTTGGGCACTGCTGGGAAGAAAAGGACTTTGGAAATATGTATTCCATAGTTGTGACTGTAAAACCTTTTTTTAAGAGATGTAGGACATCAGATGCTAAAATACTGCATGTAAAGTTCTTTCCTTATGTACTTAAAACAATAAGGCTACAGAAGGCTTAATCTCATCATTACCCCAATTTAAACTTGATTTTAACTTTCCTTGCCTGATCTAGGACATCAGAAAGATTAATTTATTTTTAATTCTTCACATCCATTTTGAATATAAATGCATTTTTCTCTACTTTAACATGAATGAATGACAAAGTACCTGCAACATTATTTCCATTAATTCAGTTTACTATCACAGTGGAAACAAATGGAATCAGTACAATGTATTCCAGTCTTTAAAAATACTGATGTTATTTATAAATAAAAAGCATTATCACACAATAAAGAATTGCAACATATGTGAATAAAAAATGTTTTATAAAGCAGCAGTTAAAAATATTTAACTTCAAGAACACGTTTCTGACAGACATACTCTGTTGAATGGTTCTTTTTAGTTGATTCATAAGCACAATACTCACCTTGTTGGATGTCCCGTTTTTCAGATGCAGTCTGGATGAATAAATAGGTTGATTAAAGATCCACTGTTGCAAAATGAAGAAAGGTGTAACAGCCTGAAAAAGAACAGTTGAACCACAGCCAGACCCCTGCAGTACTTATAGTCACTTGTAACTCTATTATGGCAAGATTCAGCCATGTCTACCCTTCAGTTGGAGAAAGGGCACCAAAAAATATTATGTTTCAGTGCTAAAAAACTCCTTGACAATTATCTACTCATTTCTGAAAAGATTCTAGGTCAAACCCCACATTAGTTAGTGCAAATTCACAGATCTAAACACACATCTTCGAAGTTTTTCTTAACTCCCCATTTTCCATTTCAAAATTGTAAGCTGAGCTACAGGAATTTCCATGCTGAAATTATGATGAAACTGAAAAACTAATTATAAGGAAAATAAATGCATTTTCGTACTAGTACAAATCACTTCAGGGAAGAATTCAACATGCCCATTCCATTAAGCTGTTTTATGTATGCCACACTCTACTTTGACCTAAGTTCTACCTCAGAAACCTCAGAATTCACCATGCGAGATATACAGCATATTGCCTATTGTCATTTTTCATATGCCACAAAAATAGAATTGTCCATCCATTGAAGAAAAATGCCAAATTGCCTACTTAACCAATCTCAAAAACCACATCAGTCTGTTGTACCTGTCCAAGTGGAGTTCATACATTTTTATCTATCTTCTTCAGTAGACAACTTATTAATGTGATTATATACAGATATTCCTTAGTGTTTTGAGGGAAAAACTTTTGCATACTGTACTTTCTCCCATAGTACACCTAACTATTTTTTCTTGTAATGCTTACTGTGGAGTAAGGGTGCTTGCTTTAAAGAAATAAAATTAACACAGACATGCAATTCAAGACAAATTAAAGAGGTTACATTCATAGATGGACAAATGATAAAACTGCCTCTTCTGTGTTCAGGACAAGTTCAGGAGCATACGAGTACCAACAGTTTATTTTGCTGTAGAAGTCAGGATGATAGTGTTTGTTTAAATACTTAATGTGAAAGCATGGTCGCTCTATAAGTCATGAAACTGCTATTTACAACCTTAATGACAAAAAGCCATCAATATTGTGTGAGAGCAGCTTGATTTCTGAAAATAATTATGTCTTTTGTAATTCATAGCTGGGAGAATTTGACTGAATCTGCTTAAATGAAGGTATCTCAGATAACATAGAGGGTACAGTTCTGTGCATTCTGCACATTGTGGCAGAGATGTGGCTTTTGGCGCTTCTATTTACATGCATCAGACTTTTCATTATAGGTCAGTTACAAATCACTTCTGCCAGCAGGTACACTACATAAAGTAGGATTTGAGTGAGTATTTATAGGGCATTTAAGGGAATCTTTAACTTGCTCTCACCAGGATTCCTAATCGTTAGACACTAATAAAACTAAGGTTATTAATTCTTGCTAGGATTTTAAAAGAGCAGAAGAATCATAATAAATGCAAATAAAACACACCTTTTTTGGCAGTACTTAAGTTTTCAATAAATGGGGCTTGTCATCTTGCGTCCAAACGCAAGCCTAAAAAAAAAAAGCAAACCCTGTCTTTCTTGAGAAAAGAGGAAACAAAGAACCGTTAAATATTTTCTATTAACTGATAACACATGAGTAATTTGATAGAACAATATTGGCCATATTTTAGAATAAATACTTGCTTTACAATATGAAAGTATTCAGAGGAAGAATAGTAAAATCATACTTTACTGGTCTAAAGAACATTTCATGAATGCCGAAGTTCTCCAAAATTCAGATACATTGTCCATTTGAAATTCTATAGTGTATTTCTTAAGGCATAGAGTAGTCTCTTACATTTTTAATGATAGTTCTAAAATCAGTACACTTAAAATACATTATTTTACTTCATAACTCAAGAAAAATAGCATTATCTCTTAGAGAAAGGTAACTTCTGTTATTCTCAACTGAGAACAATAAGATATTTTTTTAAGTAAAATGTATTTCATCTAAATGTAACGAAATTTTTTTTTTCTCCTCTTCCTTCATACCTGAAATATATTTCAAAGACTCATTCCTGGTATTCACTCATTCACTGTTCTGCAGGAAATTCTGGAGCGAATTTGGACAACTCATTCTTCTGGTCTGTTAATTGCTGCATCCTATTTTGCTTGACAGCTTGAAAAAGTCATTTATTTCACTTGAATACTTATTTCCTGCCACTTTCAGCAAAAGTTAACACCATCATTGGTTTTGAGCACTGATGTCAAGTTGAAGCAACCTGTCAGAGACTCCATTTGTTAGCAAACCTGAAATCAGAATTGACACTCAGCTTAAGAATTGAGACTCCAAACATAAGACAAAGGAGGTAGTGAGAGCCCTAGAGTTGCATCTGGGGCTTATCGGAGGGTTTGCTGCTCCTCATTCCTCCCTCCAGGTCCTGGTGAATACCTTGAAATAGGGAGCCCCGGGCTTGAGGCTTAGTGCTGCCACCCTGTGGCCAAGAAAACGACCAAGGATGATCCCTAAAATTTCTAAACTATTGGACCTCAGAATAACAGGAGATCAAGGATTATTTATCTATTTATTTATTTAAAAAAAAAAAAAGGGAAAAAAAAGAGAAGTGTTTATTCCCACAGAGAATTAAACAGTGTTTAATTAAAGGAAAGGAAGGAAAGTACCCAGAAAGGGAAACCTTGTACACCAAATAATAACATAAATTGCTAAATGTTAAAGTGACCCAAACTAAGTATTAGCAAACATGAATTGCAATTTTCCCATAAACTTTGTTTGATTTGCAAACTGGAGCTCTGTATACACATCCCTTTTTAGAGATTCAACTTCAGAAGGATTAAGTCACCAGTGACATTAATTCCTGGCTATCCACCACTTCCTGATGCTGCTGTGGCCTAAAAGAGACAAGCAGCACTGAAATTCTTGGAGTTTACTTGTCCCTTGTGTGGCTGAGGGATCCAAACTCCTCTCAGGACCTCTGACTGTGGGAATTCATATGCTGCCTCTTGGTTTGCTGCAAGCACTTTTCCCTTGCAGCTGCTCTGACTCAGCCTCCCTGAAGTGTCATGTCTGTCCACAGTCAACCCAGTATGATAAACCAGTATTACACTCAGACATGCAAGTGGGAATCTGGTGCACTAATTGCTCCTGCTCTTTGCCTCAAACATCGGTAGTTATGTCTAGTACTGATATGTTGGAGCAATCTCTCCCTGGCCAGCAACTGGTCCCCTAACTTGTCTTTCAGTCCAGCCCACATGAATTTGGGTAAGCTATGCAGTGTCCTCTGGAATCCACCATCCTCAGAATTCCTGTTAGTTAGGTGTTTAAGCATTAATGGTAAAGTAATTCTTCATTCAGAATAAAAATGACCCCTTTTTATTCTCATATTTCATTATTTATCTATGTATAACTACACTGGTTAGACATTCAACAGAATCTACTTTAGTACAGGAAGACCAAGCCCAAAGATCTAATTTGTGTTACATGATAAGATGGGATGTACCTTTCCTGAGTTCAGAAAAGACACCTTACTTAAAAACTGACCCATAAATATAGTTGTTACATCCTTTTATTACTCCTTCATAAGAAAAACAAATTGAAAGCTTCTGCTGTGACTTTTCTTGAGTGAAAGATCAGAAGTGGTTAGACTAACAAAGAGTTTGTGATTTGCCCTAGCTGATGCAAAGTTGTGGCAGTTGGTAGTGGCCACTACATCTTGTAGCCATAAAATGAAGACACTGCTGCCTGTTGTCTATTACACCTTGTCTGCTTCACCTGCTTAGTTTCTAAGCTCTTGGTCTGTTACTATATTTACGTTGAACCTTTTACGTTGAACCATACATGGTAAATCCTTGATTCTACCTGGGGCACTGCAATCTTTCTTGTTAGAAACATTTTGTAGGTAAAGAATAAAAGCAAATACAAGCAGTTGAGAAGGAAACAAACCAGGTATCTACAAAACACAGCACATAGCTGTACCACAGCAAGCCAGATTGCTGACATGCATCTATTACAAACTGGAGTAAAGCATATCCTCAGACAGAATTTAAAATTTACTCCTGCCAGATAAATGGTTTCTTCAACCTTTCCGTCTGCCAAGTGCTAAATTCCTGCGCAGTCATCCTCAAGCAATAACTACTGAATTGTAGATAATTCATGCAGTTCACAAATTCAGCTTTGTAACAGGTTATTAAAAGCAAATCAATTCAGAATTATTTTTTCTTAGAGAATGAAGTAAATTGAAACTTGCGGAAAGCAAAATCCAAAGACTAGTCTTTCCTCTCAACACATCATCTCATACCCCCTACCTGCAAAACAAGCTTTAATAAAATATTCCCATCCAAAAAAATCAGAAATTTAAGGTAACAGTTCCCAAGTTCATCCTCCTTTTTTTCTCCTGATTACTAGCCCAGTTCTCCAAAGACAAATTTCTTTTCTTTAATCATAGCAGAAGCAAGTTGCTGCCTTGTGCGTATGCACTGCAATACAGTCCTTAATTATATAATCAGACAGTATTTTTCCCAAAGGACCCTGCTTCATTCAGCATACCAGATGGAGTACACTCAAGGAATGAACTAGGGATAATGGTGATTAAAGATCTATGTGCTTTATTACAAGGTTAAAAGGAAGAAGAAAGGGAATCAAAATTGAACAATACTCTATAGAAACAGATTCTACTCCAGGCTCTGCCACTGAGTTTCCAGGTGATGCTAAACAGATGTTTTAACTAAAAATTTGTCCAGTTTGTCATTCACTATGTATTTCTCATTTTCTGATTCATCAAATTAAGATTGTGGCTCTGATCTGTAGAAGTTCTTACAACACAATGATGAATAAAACAACACATAGTTAGAACACGTGAAATGCTTCAGCAACCTGAAAAATCATTTCTAGATCGTTTAACTGAAGCAATCTTACAAAGATTAGTAATATTTTAGTCTCTCACAGTCCCAGTATCCTATCTGTAAAATGGGATAAAGAACTTCTGGTGTTTCTGTGAAAATTGATTTTGTTTTATTCATTTGAAGGTCTAAGGTACTGTTGGCATGGGTGTCTTGGAAGAAAGCTAAGAGGAAAGTAATCACTGTTTATGTAGAAAACATCTGAATTCAGGAATAAGGCCTAAATCATGCGAATGTGTGAAGAAAACAGCACATTGAAAATCTATTAATTGTGTTTCTTCGCCCTGCAATAAGCAAGAAAAGTACTGTCAAAAAAACATATATTCAGTAATATACCATGTTTATACACATGCAAATTAAATTAATGTTGCAAAGAAAACCTGTACAATGCTTTCCAACATTAAAGCACTCGATCTTTTATTGTAACTTCAGCTATTTTTAACTTCTTTTTATGCAATGTGGACACACACATACAGAAGCAGTGAGAGAAGCTAACAAGAGGATTTCTATTTGAAATGTTGCTGAAGTACATATTGACAATTAGTTCTCAACTAAGACATCAACTATGTCATTGAAAAGGTTTTAAGATTATGTAAAACCATACCATTGTTACTCTTAAGAAAACACAAAACAGCAAAAAAGGGAAATCCAAACTTCTGATCATGAAGATGGCCAAAACCACCCCTTATGGTTAGTAATATTAAAGATTACTTGGAAGAGATATTAACAAATGCATGTGAAGATTTACATCTGTCTTAAACAGAGACTCATATCAAAAAGAACTTTCAAGCAAATGAATTTGTTTTTGAAGATATCAAGGAATTTGATTGCCTAGTGAAAACTGATTGAATTTTTACTTTAATACAAAACAAAGAATAACATTTAACAGAACATGTAGCTGAATTTTCAATATTGCATACTGCCATTAAATAAGTAATAGTAATTTTAAAGTTGAATGAGTACTCCTCTTCTTGGCACACTGAAGCGTCTAGCCTGCTGAGTATATGTTGTTAAACACATGCAATGAAACTTGTTCGGAAGTTCTTTATATGCAAGTTGTTTGTAAGTTCTTCATATGTTACAAATGATCATTTAAATACACCTACCTCAAAGTGAGCCAAAACTCTATGGTCTGTCAAATTTCACTTATTACTACTAAGTAACACATAATTTATTGACATGAACAAGTATTGTGTCTGCCTGCATACTTCCACAGGGAATGTGGAACTATAACTGGTAACTTTCCAGTACCCTGGCTTTCCAGTAGCCTGGTATAGTTACCTGATTTTTCCAGACAAACTGGAATGCCATTACTATAGTTTACTATGGTTCAAGATCTTAGCTGAGCAGAGACATTAGACATAGGTTAAATCCAGTTGATCTCTGTGGAAATTAAGCACATGATTAAGTGCTTTGATAAGGTTTTTTTCTCTGTTTTAAATAAGCATCAATATTAAGGTATAGTAAGAATATTGCAAGGCAGAGCTGTGACTAGCGCAGTTATTCAGGAGTTAAACATGTACATTGTAAATGTACCGTGTAAATAAGCTGTTTCTCCTCTTACTACACTGTGTTAAGAATGTAGAAGGATCTCTCTCAATTAGAGCTACTTAAGAGGGAATTAAGTACATTGTAATGAGATATAAAATCATCATGCCTAGATTGCTCCTTCACATCAAATCTAGATTTGAAATGAAAATGTTATTATCAGCTGCCTGTTTGAGCTTACGTCTATGTAAAATGAGCTTGGTTGCCCAGATGCATTCACCCTAGAAAAATAACTGTCACAAATATAAGACAATGACTTACACAACTGTCTTCTTTGCACATGCCTGAGTGACTACATCTAGGCCAGTCTGCCACATTATTCCCAAGGGTTTATTTAGGCTACACAGCTTCACCTATATGCACATAACATTTCCACATGACAAGATATATCTCCACTCATACCTACGCTAATAAACCACATAAAAATTAAGATTCAAGACAGGAAGAAGGCATGAACTAAGGCAAAACTTACAAGATTTGCTCTAAGTTTGGCAAGTCCATTCTGGGCTTTTTCTCACTACCAACTTATCAGCACCTCTCTCATCTATCATGTAGGGTTTTTTAAGCTCTGTCTGCCATTTACTTTCAATGTCCATACAAACCTCATTGAGCCAGTATGGTGCACCAACCTATGATCTACAAGGTGGCGGTTAGAGAAGACAGCTTTTACCAAGTAGAACTTCAAGACACATCTAGTCAAGCACAAGAAAGGCAGCTACTGAATCTGTAACAACATGGTCAGGAAAAAAAAAAAAAAAAAAAAAAAAAGTAAGTTGTTTTGTTGTTAAACAGCAGCTCTTGACCCTACGACCATGACTGTTAAAAAGAACAGGTATATATGCTGATCCCCTCAACTTCTGTACCCATAAATTTCTGGGTGCAGGAGATTACATTCCTGACCCAGTTGTTGGAGCTGGTGCTATGTTCAATTCAGCAATCGGCATTTTTCTGGGCTTTTGTTGCAACCCAGAAGCAGGCAACACAAACCTTCAAGGGACGAGCAGCACAGCATTTCAGTACTACACAGTTAACAATCACAATCAAGGTCTGTGGTACCACCTGAACTATTTAGTGTAAGGGCCAGAGAATTCAGGACACTGTATTGGCTCCAACATCGCCAGCCCATAGACTAGAAATCCAGTGATAATATAGAGAGCCTGCTGTCACAATCAAAAGAAGAATAGAGTGAAATGACAGCAGTGTCTCAGCAGAAGTGATTCATGCACTATTTACATTAAGGCTACTGGCTGTAAACAACACTGATGTGTATCAGTATCAGAACTCCAGTAGCTGTCTCTTGTGATAAACTAGCACCTGTTTCAAACATGAGACAACTACAACAACGTCAGCAGAACTGCCTTACCTCTGTTGCTCTGGTGTTTAACGTTCTTCTGTAGCATCATCAAAGCTACTGGAAATTCAGTAGGTCCTTAACTTCTGCCAGATGATAATGAACTAGGCCTTCAGGCATCTCCATACACACTGGCTTTGCCTTCTGCACTGGCAGGATTATCATGATCTGCTGCACACTTTGTAATTCACATGAGGAATGGGAAACCCATCCAGCCTGGTGGCTTACAGGTTCATACATTGTTTCTGGACAGTGAACCTCCTCAGAAGCGTATCTCATAGGAAGGATATGTATAGAAAAGAGTGTATGTGTTGGAAGAGGGAGGAAGGCAGAGGAGGAGGGAAGGGGAAGCCAATACATGGTTCATAGTCCAGCAAAATACAATCACTTGCTTCATATATCAAGTATGTCCTAATGCCACCTGTGAAAGATACCTATTCAAGGATGTTCACCTTTCCCTTCCTTTCCTGGCTTCTCAAAGGCAGGACCCTCCATTCCACTTCATATTCTTCCAAGTGATGTGAATATAGCCTCTCTTCCTTGAGAAGCTAACAGCAGGATGAGTCACATAGAGGCTAGCATTTATATGTCACAGAAACAGAAAATTAGGGTCTTTCCAAGACAGAAACCCCGTATGTTGTAATGTGCAACTATTTTGTTGCTTTGTCAAGTGCCGAAAGTATATATCCATTCACAATATAAGGCGAAAAAATATATTGGCAGTACTGCATCAGCGTTCCATAGGTAGCTGTTTATCCAGTGAAGGGCACTTCCCTCTTACATTACTAGTATCAGCTCACAGAGCTTGCCTGCTGTGAAGACAAAGTCCTTCTTCACAGCAGTTTCACTGCATGACTGGTGGGGTCCACTTTCAGGTTACACTGGCCAGGTGACTTGGAAAAACCCTCATAAAAAATCCCAAACCAAACACATTTCTTGAGTGCTTGGCTGATAAGGAAGAGGAAGCCTGGCTGATTAGAGATCAATTTGGAAGCTGCTGCTGAAGAAAAGTCCATGCTGGCTCACAACAGACAGGTCAAAATAAAAAAAAAGAGGCTTGGCTTACCAGCCAGCTCAGCCAAGGAGCTAGTAGTAGTGTTAGGGAGTATATTCTGGAAGGAACATTTCACTACTCTTTGGCAGCAGCCCCACAGGGTGGGCATCTGACTCTGGCTGGTAACGTCAGTGGACTGATGCTCTGTCAGTGTTGATAGGATACCTGCAGCCACGCAATTGTGCCAGATGTGTCAGTGACATTATCCAGAAGTATCTTTGGGATAAAAGTTTGGGAGCCCTTCTGTTTTCATCATTGTTGATGACAGAATACCACTTCTCCCATTAAGAACATATAGGCTGAACATTGGCTTTCCATTTGTATTTCTGGACTTGCATTAGGCAAGAGAGTCTCACCTTCTTCCCACAGCCACCAACACCCTTATTAAAGTCTCGCTGTAGTCAGTAGCTCATTTTGCAAACTTCAAGCTGGTACAAGTAATTGTAATTAGAAAATATGACTTTGCCATGTCAGTAAAGTTCTTATAGCACACATATTTCACCCCTATGACCTCTTCCTGAGACCAAATAACACCTTAGGTACTAGATTCCCGATTGCTATCTAGGGAGAATATACCTGGAGTATACCTTGGAGGCCTTGCATATGCTGCAGATTTTTTTAAGGGGATGTTTTATTTCAGCGCATGGTCATAAAAGTCCCTGACAAGTCTGCCATGCAGATTTCTAGAATATGTATCAACAAGATACAATTTTGAAGGGTGCAAAGGACATTATTGGCACAAGCAACAACGGTCAAAATAGTTCAGTCTATTATCAACAACAAATGGTCTTGTTGGTCAAGGGCTAAGCATGTACAAAGCATGTGCTCTCTTCCTTCCACTACTTAACTAGAGCTGCAGTTTCACTCTGAAGCATAGGCAAGTTATAGTCCATTGTCAGTCTGATACTTGAAAAACATTCTCTAAAACAAATATTCAAACTGAATCCTGAAAATATCAAATGATTATCACATCGTCATTTAACTAGAAACAGATTTTAAGAAACTTTGCTAAATAAAACACATTCACAGTAGCCTTCTCTTGGTTTTGCTCACTGGAGAACAGCATGTATGCTACCCAAAACTGAACTTGTGTTTGCTGTGAGAAAAGAAACAAAATGACAATCCTAAATGTTTCAACAGGATTTTGCTCAAAAATTTCATATTCAAGGCTAGTCTCACACTTTGGCATAAGGAGCGTTGAGCACAGTTACTTTACTAGAGAGACAGTTAACAGCCCGTGCACTCAGAAGCACAACTGAGGTGACAGAACAGTGACAACTGCAACACTACCCAGCTAGACGGCCTGAATCTTCAATCCTAAAATTTCCTTTTTCTGGAAGAACTGTTTAGTTAAAGATCTAGATTATGAATCAGAGGTGAAAAAAGACCCAAAGCCAAACCTTTGTGACTTGTGTTTTTTAATCAGAATTTTGCCCTTTTATGATTTTAGAAAGAAGCGAAAACTGAATCCAACATAGCAATTTCTATTTTCATTTAGAATTTGAAACTTTATGAACAATTTTGCTTGTGGTTTGAGTTATGGTACCTAGCCATGCAAATGCGCAGAACAGTATCTACAGTGTTATAAAAACTGGGGAAAATAATTCAATTTCATAGGTACTGAAGACAGATGTATCTGCACCAAGGACAACATAGTTTATATTCAAATAGCAAAATAAAGAACAACACATTTTATAATTACCAAGTTTTTCATATATCTTAGTTAGCTTTCTTTTTTTTCAAACTTACATCAATGCAAGTGAATTTAAAGGTTTTTCTTAAGGACAGCTAGAGTTGCCAAGATAATAAATTAAAATCTTAATCACCATCTGCCATTTATATCCAGAAGACTATAAACACTTCAGCTACATCAATATTGCACACTGGAGCTCATATATTTCTGTATTATGTTAGTAGAGACTATATAACATTGGAGCCAGAAGCACCACAGCTACTCAGGCAAATAAGCCCTGCTCTGAGAAAATGAATACTGCCATGTCCTATCTTGGATTGAACAAAGCTCTAGAACCTACAGCCTGCTTGCAGATGTACAGCAGATATGTAGCTATTCATATTTAATTTAGAACCCTACTTTCAGCATGTTTACTTTCTAGTATTGAATGGTTCCGATGCTATAAAATCCAGGGCCCTAAATCAATAAATGTTATTTAGAGCACTAATGTTGAAAATATGATAACTTATCTTTTATATAGCAGGGAAATGTTTTTATTTCTTGTATTTGTAAAAATTCAGAAAATTAATTGAATGCAAATCGCTGAAGTTACACATAAGCCTCCAATCACTGAACTAACAGCTAAGACTTCAGACCATCCCCTTACATCTCATATGGGGGAAAATTGTGCGTAAGGGGAAACATCAAGCGTTATCCTGACAGCTGCAAGTACTAGCAGAAAACTCAAACATGCTCGCTGC